TCTGATTCATACATACCGTTTGCCCCAACAACATCATTATCTCCTTCGTATTCATCGACTAAGTAGTCACTGTCCATGTCGAATTCAGCGCGTTCTAGGCCCTCGTCAATAATCTCGTCCACTGCAACCTCTTTCTCCCTATCAATTCCCACACGCTCATGGTTCTGTTGATGTGTTATGCTGCCTTTAGTACTGGATTGACTATTATTCGAATCGTCCTCACTATCTATTTCGTATTCGGAACTGGAATAGTGGTAATCGTCTCCATATACTTGTTTCATGTTGTCTTCCCTGAATCGCTCAGTATAATCCTCAGCAAGCCCTTTCTTACTATCACTATCGTCGCCGCTCCCATGGTCACCACCCATCAACCCCCCTATGGAACCCTTCGAAGCTACACTCCCGCGAAAACTATTGCTATACTTCCGATGTATCACTTGACGTTCTAAGCAACTATACCTCCTCTGTTTGATTCGTTTCTTGATCAATTGTACAGACCCTTGTTCCGTACATATAGAGGCATATGGTCGCACTATACATACGTGTGAGGTATAACATAACCTCGATAGTTTATCTGGTCTTTGTTGAATTGATGTATTGAGTTGCCTTGAGTCTAAGAGCCTGTGTCTGCGACCACATGCGTTATTTGCTGTGTATTTTCGACTACAAGTTCTGAGTATAGAACGAAGTGTACTATACACTGACGCAGAGCCCTGCATAATCTTTAAAGTATGCAATACTTATTCCTAGATATGTTCCTTGATTGGTGTACGTATGGAACTGCATGTCACATGAACTACCTTTTCTGGGAGGTTCATAAAAATAACTTGAGAAAGCAATACACCGCCAACTACTTGCCTATGTTGCAAAGGTTAAATATTTATCATCCTTCAAGAAAACAGTTCATGGTAGGTGACCCGAGCCACCGCGAGACAAGATAAGTCTCCTAACCTGAACACCACACCGGCAATTTTGAAAGCATGGAAAGTTGGAGACACACACAAATTTAAAAAAATAGTAAATGAAGGAAACTTGATGGATGTTTTTTATATAATTTATCATCATGTTATTTTTTTTTTTACAAAATGAACATTGTTCTGTATTTTTTGTTGAAAAACAGAATGTAAATATAAAATGTCTTAAAAATTTAGAAGAAGGCTTTATTTAAAATATGAAGAAAAGAAAAAAAAATACAAAATCTGAAATCTTTGAAACACTTCACATCACTCAACGCCCCACAGCCCACAGCCCAGCAGAGGTCGCCAGCGCCTCTTCATTCTTTAATCATCGTATGTTTTTATATTATATTTTTTATTAAAAATAGAGTAAAGCCTTCGGCTCATTCAACGAATGATTTGGCTGAAGCCGATAGCCTGTAGTTAGTGTGGTAGTGGGGTACTCCCCGGCCCCCCGCCTTTTCCGCAACAAATTGTATTCAGTTTAAATTATGTTATTATTTGCTCGCCTAATATGTATCAATAATATATGAGGGTATATAGGTAGTTAAATATAGGTAAGTGTTACTTTGTTCTGCGAATCTCAAGCATCTAAGCTCTATAAGGTCGTACATATATACTTAGTGTATATCTTCGTAGGCACTAGGGGTTTCTTTTGCGGATACAGAGTGGTCGCTATTGACACTTATGCGTTTATGTCATAAATACAATCCGCCCGCTTGTCGCCTCGTGATATGGCCTACTTGTCTGTCACTCTCCAGCCCAGACCTGAATGGACTGTATAATCCTGATGCGATCAAAAAACTCCATTATAATCACCAATTGAGTACTTAAATTATATAGTCCTAATGCGGTCATAGAGGTCAACGTTATCAATGTCTACACTGATTCACAATAAATAGATCAAAAATAAGTCTTACACCGTAAGACAAAAACACGAGTGCAAGATGGAAGGAAGTTTCGATGACATCCCAGCTGGGGAGTGCAACCCCGATACAAGCTCGGGCACTATAATGCATCTCTTCAATTTTCCCAAAGATGAGTTAATCGATATACTGGCACCACTATTGGAACAGTTAATGGTATGTTATATGTGTCTGTGTCTGTGTTTGTTCTGTGTGTGTGTGTGTAATATACATATATATATATATATATATATCTGTGTCTGTGTCTGTGTGCATATATTTATATAAATGTGTGTGTGTGTGTATGTATATATTTATAAATATATATTTATATAAATGTGTGTGTGTGTATGTATATATAT